TGTGTGTGTGTGTGTGTGTGTAAAACACTGGCCCACCCAACTATTTAAAACAAACACTAATGGATATGACAAATCAGATGGGCATCAATAAAGTTGTAATGAAAGACCTCAATATCCCAGTGTCATGAACAGACCTATCAAATAGACCAAAAAATCAGTACAAAATATCAGAGCTGAACCAAATCTTTGAACAAATGGACTTGGTAGCTATCTACAAAGTGTTCCACCCAACAACAGAATATTCTTCTCAGCACATGAGACTTTCTCCAAAATAGACCACATACTATCTCATAGAATATGTTTAATAAATGCAAAGAAATTTAAATTACCTCATGCATATTATCAGATCATAGTGCAATGAGACTGGCAATCACTGGCAAAAGAAACCACAAAAACTCCATAAAGACACAGAAATTATGTAACACCCTCCTGAATAACCAGTGAGTTTCAGATAAAATTAAAGAAGAAATTAGACAGTGCCTACCATGAAACAGTAATGCCAACATGACAGACCAGAGTCATCGGTAGGAAAATGGGTGTACCTTGAGACCATAATCTTATGTGAAATGTCAGACACACAAGTTTAAATATCACTTTGTTCTCTTGTGTGAAAAACCCAAAGGGTAAATTAGAAGCATAATGGAAGACAGATATTAGGAAGTAAGAAGAACATAACATGTTCAAATGGGAAGGGGAAAAAGGGAGGGAGGAAGGAGAAGGGAAGGAAAGGAAAAGGAAAATGAAGAATGGAAAGAAAAATGGAAACAAAGCTCTTGTAAAAGGGGAAGGGAGGAAGAGCTGAAGGGAGGGGTGGGAGAGGGGGAAATAATTATTATGTACAAGTACAAATTCCCTGTGAAGAATGTGATTCATATATATGACAAATGTGTACTAATTAAAAAATAAAGTTAAAAATGAAAAAAAAAAGGTACCTAGTTTTAACTTATATTTGTTAGTTCACTGTTGAGGTTAAATTAGCTATTTCTTTTCCTTTTTAAATTTAACTGTTCATTTCTCTTTTAACATGTTGATGTTTTATTGATGTGCATAAGTTCTTTATAAAGTATAAATCTTGCCTGACATCTTTACTGTGGATATTTCTTTAGATTGGATTTTTGCTTTTGACATTTATTCAACACATATTTATCCGAGGCACTCCAGTGTGTCAGGCACTGGGCTGGTCATCAAGGATGAAAGACACACAGTTTCTACCACTCATGATCTCACAATCTATGGGGGAAGCAGGCAGGCAAGCAATAACTGCAATAAAATAAAGCTGTCTCATGCCTCACCAGACATATAACTAGCCCACAGCAGAGGCACTAAAAGAGGTGAGTGGACAATCCTATATATAAGGACCACAGAAATTCTTCACAGAGAAGATGCTTCTTTAACTAAGTATAAAAAGTTTAGTAAATTACTGAAGTGAAATCTGGCTTGTAAGGGGACACTTCCATGGTTGAGTTTGTAGGAAATAAACTGTCAGACAACTCCGGAGGATCAGGAAGCTAGAGAAACCTTAGAGGCCACATAGTTTTTAAAATTATACATAATAATAGGTTTTTTAATGAAGTCTAATTCTCTGCTTTTCCTTTCTGATCTATTACATAATATTTAAGTGAACAAAGTCCTTCCTCAACCTGAGATTTGATTCTACCTTTCATTTTGTTCTAGGTTCCATTTTTAATACTTTGATTTTTAAAAAATTTTACTTTACATCTAAGTAATTATTCTGGAATTGACTTTGCTATATATGATAGCAAGCCTCATTTGGATCTTTTTGTTGTTGTTTTAAAGTTTACATCTATATTGTTCATTAAACTTTTCCCTATAAACTTAAACATGGGTTAGAAAAAGCGGGAGAGTGCCAAATATCTAAAAAAAGATTACCTATTCACAGCTAAACGCAGTGCTAGGGGAGACAAAAGAAATTTCACCTGATTTGCTGTTTCACTATTGAAATATCAAAACTGACCTGGGCCAAACACTAAGGGGTAGACTTCCAGCCACTAAGGTCCTAGCTCTCAAAGTGTACTATTGCTACTTTATAGGTTACACATTTCTGAAGAGCCAACTGTGTTTATATAAGCAGTAATTTATTTTTATGACAATTGAAGGAAAGCAGTGAGGAAGAATAAGTCATTGTAAGATTGGTTTGTTTGCTCCTACCAGGAATTTTAGGTAGAGTCAGGTTTCCTCCCGATGTGGGCTGAAAGCTGAGTGGGTTTGGCACCTCTGCTCTTTACTGGCCAGATACTCTCTATGAACTGGGGGCTGATTGGTTAGAAAGGTGAGAGTAACCTGAGCAGATTGGGTCTGGACTCTCACCTTTCCCTGTTGTTACTTCACAGCATTCTGAAGGCCTGTCCTCCAATCACAAGGCTCCTTGTTGGAAAAGCCAACTGCTGGAGCTTGCCAAGAGTCCCTAGCAACACCCTAGAGCTTTTGAAATCTGGGAGAGAGAGAGAGAGACAGACTGTGGAGTCAGCTGTCAGCAGGCAGGCATGCCTAAGCCTGGGGAAGGGCAGGCTCTCAGGATGGACACTCCACCCCCTGAAGAGTCCTCAAATAAGCACAATGAAAAAATGAAATATGAGGAAGAGGAGATGGAGTTTAAGGAGCTGGATGGGCTGAGGGAAGCTTTGGCCAGCCTCCGGGGCCTGTCTGAGGAAGAGAAGAGTGAAAAAGCAATGCTCCGCTCACGCATCCAAGAGCAGTCCCAGCTTATATGCATTTTGAAGCGGAGGTCAGATGAGGCCCTGGAGCGATGCCAGATCCTGGAGCTAGTAAACACAGAGCTGGAGGAGAAGAGGATGCAGGAGGCAGAGAAGCTGAAGGCTCAGAGCAAACATGCCCAGAAGCTAGAGGAACGCTTTAAGACCCTGGCAGCCAACCATGAAATGATGATTCGCTTCAAGGATGAACACAAGAGTGAGAACATCAAGCTGAGGGAGGAAAATGAGAAGCTAAGGCTGGAAAACACCAGCCTCTTCAGCCAGGCTCTGAAAGACAAGGAGGCCAGAGTATTGCAGCTCACCATCCGGAGCGAGGCCCTCACCAAGGAGCTGGAGGCTCTGAAACAGAGATGCGCTCAGGATGCCAGCCAGGCCCAGGCCCGAGAGAAGGAGCTGCTAGAGCTTCAGAGCCAGCAGGCCTGTGCCCATGCCAAGGAGACAGAGCAGCTGCACAGCCAGCTGCAGAGCCTTAAGCAGCAGCACCAACAAGCTGTGGAGCAGATGGCAAATGCCAGGGAGACACATAGTAGGCTGAGCCAGGAGTTGCAGGCCAGGCTGCAGACCGTCACACAGGAGAAAGAAGAGCTGCTGCAGTTGTCCATGGAGAGAGGCAAGGTGCTGCAGCACAAACAGGCAGAGATCCGCCAGCTTGAGGAGAAGCTGGAAACAGCAGATCTGGCCAGGAGGCATGCACTAGAGCGGTTTGAGCAAGAGTCAGCGGCTGTGGACAGCAACCTGAGAGTTCGGGAGCTGCAGCGCAGGGTGGATGGGATCCAAATTGCCTATGATGAACTCAGGCTGCAGTCAGAAGCCTTCAAAAAGCATACCCTGGATCTTTTAAACAAGGAGAGAGAACTCAACGCCAAACTCCGCCATTTCCAACCATAAGGAAGCCTCTGCTTGTCTATCCCATTAGCAATCCCAGTATTTGTGTCCCTAACATTTTGGCAAGAACAAAGAGGACATTCCATTTATTATACTTGTAAGCATTAGAGGAAACCTAAAGAAAAGCTACTTTCCTATGATGTTGTTGTTGTTACTATAGTAAAGCTAATGCAATTTTTAGTTCTACCATCGAGAATATACAAGACTTACCAGCACTATTTCTGTAGTTTTGAAGTCTTCTAAATTTGCTATCAGTATCTTTCCTACTCTGTAACGTATTCACTCTCAACCTCAGATGTCTAAATATATTAGCAGCTTCTATGATTCAAGTGAATCTAAAATATACAATGAGATGTGCCATTATGAAAAAAAAGTAGCACAATTAACATCAGTGGGTAGATATGCTTATGGTCCCCAATAGTTGAGATTATAAGCAAATAGTTAATAACATAATTAATACCATGAGTACTTTGCAGAAAAAAGTGTCTGATTTTATTTTTCATGAGCTTGGGGAGCAAAGATTTAGATCATTAGATCTATTTGCCAAAGTAGGCTAACTTTATTATTATGATTCCATACAAGTAATAAGATTAAAATAATTTAGAACAACAATTTTTATTTTTCCTGACAGCTTAGATAATATTCTATTTTCTTTGTTTTCTCCATAATAAAGGTGGGATTTAGGTTGGCAATAATGCAAATATTAGTAGTTTCACTTTATATTGTACAATATGCTAACAGAAAAAATGCCTCAATTTGGAGTAAGAAGTATTAGCAAAGTTGTTATAATTTAATAATTCATAGCAATTGCTTTCTGCTTCCATTGGTATATTTTCTTATAATCAAGTTTTTTCTTTTTAAAAAAGTAAGCTAAATGTATGTATGTTTACTTATGACATTTTTGAAGAAATTGTTACAAAAATATTACAGTTATACATCTTTATGCAAAGTTCTTAAAGAAGTACAGTTTTTAAAAATACTTTATATTTCCTTATTTTCCTGTTTTTAGTTATGGATATATAAACTTTATTATGAATGCCTCCTGAAATAGATTGTAACATAGAATTTTTCTCACTCATTTGGTGCCAAGTGTACCAAGAGTTACATAAACAAATTTGATTTACAAAAAGAAAAATTACTTGAGGCCTCTTTAAGAAAACCACTTCCAAACAAATGTTACCTCAGGCAATTTGTTAAACCTATTTTTAAAATAATTCTATGAAGATTATGCTGTTAGATACAATTTTTTCTTATCGAAATAGAAATCACATTGCTGGCCTCAGAGGACTATTTACTTCCTCTTCACAGCTTACAAAGAATCAGACCGCAAGAGCTAATTTAGTCCTGGTGTCCTTTACTGAGTCCATACTACTTATCATTGTGCTAAAGCAATTTGGAGATACGGTTTTGTTTAACACTTACAGGTATTCAAGAAGGGAGCTGTGTTCATTCCTATTTGAAAGGAGAGAAAACTGGCTTTCAGTAGTTTGTTTAAGGCTACTTGGTCACTGGGGGAGCTGAGATTTCCTGCTGAAATTGTCTTTCACATGGAAAAGTAATTATGACTACTGAGTACCAGGCACTGGGGGAAGCACTGAGAATAAGCATAAGGATGCATTTTCTGCTTTGAAAGAGCCCTGACAAAGTCTAGTCCAGTGTGCTACAGCAGGCTGTTTGTTTTCACCAAAAGCTCTAAAAGGTTCGCCATCACTGCTCTAGTCTGTGGACGGGAGAGAGTAGCACCCAAGCTATTGTGTACAGTGTGATGTGTTTTCACAGGAGGTGAGAACAGGGAATCTAACTCTACCTGGAGATGAGAATTGGGATGGTGCGGAGGGCTCCCATGGATAACCAACATGTCAGTTGGTTCTTGAACTAGTAGAATGTCATCAGGTGGAGGAAAAAAAAGAAAAGAATGTGTAGAAGGGATAGAGGTTTTAAAAATGCCTACAACACTTAGGAAATTATAAGTAGTTGAGAGAAGGTATGGAGAATGGTGACTACAAATTCAACTTGAACAGTAGGCTGAAGCAAGAATATAGAGAACCTTGAGAGCCAGGCTGACCTCTTCTATTGGGAGGAGGGTGATGGAGGGCAGAGGGGAAACACAAGCCTACAAATGGAAACTGCAGTCCCAGTCCTTCTCGTCTTCCCACACAGGTCCAGGTTACGCTGTGAGGGCCCTGGTGCACCTGGGTGCTAACACAGCCTCTCCTTCCGCCCTCCTGTCCTACCCCCATAGGTGGAGAAGGGTGTTTGTGAGGAGCAGAGGGAGGGGGTAGGTAGGGGGCAGGTGCATGTGCCTCAAAGAGAGAAGGCCCAGCTGCTTTGGCCATGCAATATTGCTCAAAGCCATGCTAGAGAGTGTGTATAAGGTTGAACCATATAAAATTGATCCTAAGTGGTCAGATATGGGCCATTTTATAATATTCACTTGAATATAATTTTGAAAGATTTTAAAAGGAAAATGAGAAAAGTCAAGGGCCAATGCCTAGAGAACTGAGGAAAAGAACCCACAACATAGACTAAGGAAGTAAGGAGAATGTGCACCTATCATGTGTCAAGTGTGTTTTATTTCACCCCCACAATGACTCCTCAAGGGAGTTTTCATTATTACTGTTACAGAAGCAACGGGTGTGACTCAGAGGTGATGACTCATGCCACGTGAAATTTCAACTGAAGGCCCTTGATCAAGGCTTCATAAGTGTGTCACCTACACAGGACCCCACACTTTCCTTTTTAAATTAGGGAACTCACACTTTCCTTTTGTACAAAACATTACCAAATAAGTAGCTGGGGAAAAAAATCCTCCTCCAGTAAAATTCATGCTTTCTGTCACCACAAAAACTACCTCCAAAACAGTCATAAAATTTTTTTCTTCTGTGCTTCATGTCACCTTGCATTTCACTCCCTCATGGGTCATCTTGTATTTGATCTGTGACCCAGAACCATTCCAGGGTGAGCAGCAAGTTTAACTGCTATGATATCACTCTATACAGTGGTGCTTATCGCTGGCACAAATTGGTAAGATATAAATTTGCCCCTTCCAATCCATCGCCTTCGAGAAGAAAAAACATAACTTCTTTTCAAAGAAGACCTAAACAAAATCTACAAACAGCATCCCTAAAATGAAAGCTAAACAGATTTTAAAACTAAATATTACCAATATGTACATAGCCTTGTGTAAGTAAGTGAGATCTGTCCTAAGATCACTAAATGAGAAGCCTTTGGTATGCCTCTGAGGAAGTAGTCTGGTTCTAAAAATTATGAGCTCTTGAAAGAAGAGCTATAGGAAAAGTGAACTGACTAATGTTTTCAGAGTACTCACTGTGTTATTATAGTTAGTGGAAATGAATTCAAGTTAATTTTTTAGTAGAGAGTTTTAATAGAAAATCTGTGTCTCTCAGTTCTGTTGTACTGCAGTTAAACTTCAATTATTATTTACAGAGCATCATTTGAAGGAGTACTTGGCCTTCACTGGCCCACAGGTGTGTGTGTAGGGGGTAGTGGAGCCTTTAAGATGTGGGGCTAAACAGTAGGTATTTGAGGCATGCCCTTCAAATTGTGAAACTCTGATCTTTTCCTCTTTTGCTCCCTGACCATGAGTGGTTTCATTCTGCTACATGTCCTTGCCATAAAGTGCTATTTTGCTCAAATGCAAGTCATGGACTGAGACCTCCAAAACTGTGAGCAAAAATAAACCTTTTCTCTCTATAAGTGAGATTATCTCAGGTATTTATTAGAGTGATGTCAAGTTGACTAATTATCTCAGGTATTTATTGGAGTGATGTCAAGTTGACTAATACAAAAGTATTCATCATATCATTGTTTGCAATATCAAAAGATTAAAAATAGCTTATGTATCATTGAAAAGGAACAGGTTAGCCTAATCACGGACCCTTTACTCTCTGAGATACAATTCAACTATGAAAGAAAACAGAAGCTTTTTTGTGTATTGATATAAAAGTATCTTCAGGACATGGTATATGTTTTTAAAAACCAGTGGAACAATATTTATGATATATGCTTTCTTTTTGTTTGTTTTTTTGTGTTTTTTTTTTTGGTACCAGGAATTGAACTCACAACCTTGAGCTTGCAAGGCAGGCGCTGTGCCACTGAGCTAAATCCCCAGCCCCCAATATATGGTTTCTTTTGTGCGACAGGGAGAGGAGAAGAAGAGAATAAGAATGCAAGTATATTTACTTCCATATGTTTAAACACACATTGGAAAAAATACTAATGAAAGTGGTTATTACTGATAGAGAATAAGGCGATCAAAATTAATCGGAAGGAAACTTCTTAATATGTACCTTTTTATATAATTTGACTTTTGAACTGTAAGACTATATCACCTATTCAAAAATAGTAAAATTTTTTTAAAAGATCCGAATCTTCCACGTATCTGTTTAACTTCCCAGTAAACTCTATTTCTTTTACGTGACTCAGAAGTCTGCAGGTTTTTCCTCTCCAGGAACTAGGTAGGCTGGATGTGTTTGGGATGAAGCTAAATATGGCCTGACAGATCTGGGTCAGGCCATTCAGCTGGAAGCTGCTGCTCTCACAAATGTTCAGCAACACACGGCTAGTGACGCTATCTTGATCTGAACTAAAGAGCGCTTTCCAATGATTACTGTTTTTCTCTTACACTTAAACATTTAGAGTGTTAGTTTATCTCACGGATTTTCATATGTTCATATAAATCTTAGATTTTAGAAAGCCTATTTTCTCATACATTCAACCTTTGTTGAGTGGGTTTGGATGTTTCTTTGTTTTGTTCTAACACACAAAAGATGGTAGGAGCAAGACAGTCCAAGCCATTTGAATCATTCTATTTTAACTGTTTACTCATTCATCTAATAAATAATGTTAATTTAACAAATATTTTTGAGTCTTTTACTGGGTAGGTGATATGTTAAGTGCTGGGATACAATCTGAACAAGATAAAAACGTAATTCTCTCTGAATTTCCATCCAAGTGGGTAAGAAAAATGCTCAAAATTAGGGGGACATGAAAAGATATACAAAGTTCCAAAATCTAATGCAGGAGAAATTAGGGAAAGCTTTCCTAAAAGGATATTTAAGCTAAAGTCTGAAGAATATGTAACAGTTGTTCAAGAGAAGAGGAAGGCATGAGAGTACAACAGCCTAGAAGCCTTCACAACACCCCCTGTTCCTAGGTAAGAGAGCTGCCTTTCCAAGACCTGTACTATTCAAGGCTGGAGAATGAGCTGTCACAATAGATTCAGGTAGGAGATTCTCTAGCCAGATTAATCCCATTACACTCACATCCATATTTACATTAGTGTCTGCCAAAAGCCTGAGCCTTCATAATCTGACTTGATCCTCTCCCCTCCATCCTGCTCAAATGCTCTCAGAGGGCTCTTTGGAAATGTAGGTCTATGATCATCAAGCTGGACGTGATATTAGTACAGAGTGGAAGCCACATTGGCATCAGACTGCCTGGATTAAAATCTTGACTGTCATTTACTTGTTGATCTTTAAAAGGTATAACTAGATAGAAAGTAAACCAGAAAGCTAAAACCTCCAGTAACCGAGATGAGCAGGGCATCACATGAATTTCACATTGGTGTAACCATACAGAGAAAAGAATTCACCAAACAATTTTAGGAAACATTTATTTTCACTGAATATCTTTAATGGAATATATTTTGAGGATAAGTAGAACTACAAAGAAACCTTAGTAAATTTCATTCATTAGTTTTATTAGTGGTAATGTTGGTATCTGCTTTTTAGATATTAGACAAAAGCAAAACTAATTTTGTGAATGTTGCTATGGGAAAATATTTCCAGTGTGTAAATGCAGATACTAAATTTAAGTAAAAGTCATTAAGTGTCAAATTCAAATTGAAAATATCAGTCTAAAGCCATGACAGTCATCATATTTGGTAAGCATTTACCAAATATGACAGGTAAGATCCTGTCATTTCCTCTTCAATTTTTCTGTGTAGCTGCTGAAACAAAGTACCAAAAACTAGGTAGCTTACAACAACTGAAACATATTATATCATAGTTCTGTAGGCTAAAAGAGGGGGACAATTAAATTCATAATAATTTTTTTATTTTAAAGAGAAAAAAAATAACTAAGACAAAAACAAAAACACAAAAACAATATGTGACCTCAGAACAAAATGATAGGAATTAACAATGGCTGCTACAATACATACTCTTACCTTCAACGAAGTTGTTCAGTCCACCAGATGTAAGAATGCAAGATTGATCAAACAAAGACAATAACAAGTAATAAAAAAAATTGGAAACAATGCAGAGCTTCACCATAGAAGATGGTAGGAACTCAACAATGGTTCTTATATTCCATATTGTTGTCTTCAAATTAGTCATTCTAATTACCATATACAAGCATGCAAAATTGGTCAAGAAAAAATACATTTTTAAGCATTAACTGTTCCTTTCAATAAACCACAGACAAGAGCCGGGCTTGGTGGCACACGCCTGTAATTCCAGCACTTGGGAGGCTGAGGCAGGAGGATTGTTGCGAGTTCAAGGCCAGCCTAGGCAACAAAATGA